AGAAAATAGATACACCAATGTCTCATTCTTCCAAACTGGATAAGGATGAGAAGGGTAAAAAGGTTGACCATAAGCTTTACAGAAGCATGATCGGATCATTATTATATCTTACTGCTTCTAGACTTGATATTCTGTTTAGTGTATGTATGTGTACTAGATTTCAGTCAGATCCAAAGGAGACATCTTACTGCTATTAAAAGGATAATAAAAAACATTGGAACTTAACCAATGTTAGGACTTTGGTACTCGAAAGGACCATATTTTACACTAGCCGGTTATTCTGATGCTGATCTTGTTGGTTGTAAAGTGAACAGGAAAAGTACTTCAGGTACATGCCAGTTAATGGGAAACATGTTAGTATCCTAGTATTCAAAGAAAAAAGGTACAATTGCTTTATCAACAGCAGAAGCAGAATATGTAGCATTCGGGTGTTGCTGCTCTCAGATTTTATGGATGAAACAACAACTGAGAGATTTTGGAATTGAAGAGTCATGTACTGAGATCAAATGTGACAACACTAGTGCAATAAATCTAACCAAGAATCCAATCCTTCATTCCCGAGCAAAGTATATTGAAATCAAGCATCACTTCATCAGAGATCATATTCAAAACGGTGATGTGAACATTAAATTTATTGATTCAAAGGATTAACTAGCTGATATTTTTACAAAACCGTTGGATAAAAAATCTTTTGAATCTATTAGAAATAGATTAAATATTACTTATCCATTTGCTTGAAGTTTATTAGATAGGAACAGGATCAGATTCTGACAAGCAGACTATGCAAAGTCTGGACAACTTGCCAGATGCTAAGTCTCAGACGGAAAATAATCTCACCATTCATAAAAATTTAAATTCTGGCGGGTAAGTTTTTATTTTGGAAATAATTAAGTAAGTATTTGATTGGATTATTTTTATTCTGTCATATTTGGATTTTCTGTAATTTCGGATCTTGTAAGTGAAACTGCCAAAATTTGATTTTTTTTAAAAACCACCTATTCCTTCCCATTTAGTCACGATGGTTCAGTTTACCGATTCAAGTTTTCAGAGAAACCCTGTTCCTGCTCTCATCTTCCTTTACAAAAGATTAAAACTTCTCACCAAAATCCACTCGAAATTTGAAATGTCTCTAAAATTTGAAGCATCTAAGAAGACTCGATGCTCCTCACGCATTGCAAACATGGAATCGAAGACGAAGAAAAGTCCAGAGCATCTGGAAATTACGGATTCTTTTGAAATGGAATCCGAAAAGGAAGCAACTCCACCTCCTGCATCTCAACCCAAATCGTCAGTCTCCACAAGAAAAGAGGATTTCTACTTCAAAAATTCCAGGTATGTCTGGAAAGTTTATAACTATCTCAAGAAGGGAAATGTCTCTGACGAAGTTATGTTTAGATTCTTCAAAGATAATGGTTTTCTTTTTGAGGTAGATTTTCTGCTTGCCTATACTTCTGAACCATTACAAATAGTATTGCCTTTGAGTGACTTTGCAAAGAACAAAATGTGTCCAAAAAGGGGAAAGAGAAAGTAGGAGAACCTTCTAAACCCAAAATGAAAGAATATGTTCTGAAATCCCCAGAATCCAAGAGTGGTTCTAATCGAAAAGGGAAGGAAAGAAGGAGGATGATGATGACAAGCTATTTAGGAATTTTGAGATTAAAACAGGAATTGCTGTCGGGATAAAGGGTTCTACTGACAAATTGTTCAGAACTAAACTGCACTAAGAGTATCATAATCTTCTTCTGTCCAGGGGAGTGATGAATCATCGCATTGTGGATTTCCCCTTTCTTGATTCCATTGACATTACAGTAAGAGAGTACTTTACAAAATTGGGTATGGAAGAATTTTGCTTTCTATCATCCCCTGTATACCATGAATTAACTTCTTATTTCTATTCAAATTTGTCATTTCCCTCTCCGAATAGAATAAGCTTTACTGTGTTTGATAAGAAGTATGATTTGGTTGCATCTCAACTTGTTAAAATATTGGTGCCAAGTCATACAATTTTGTCCCTATTAAAGTCACCCATGAGGAAGCATACCTAGTCATCTCTAACAATCCCCATTTCACTCGGGACTCAAAGACACACATCTCTTACTCAAGTCTGAACAAGAAGAACATGATTCTACATAAGATCATTATCAATTGTCTCAGGCCAAGGGCATCATCCAGGACTGACCTATCAAAGTTTGAAGCAAAGATAATATGGGCCATCATAAATGAGGTTACTTTCTCTCTGTCTCATATTATCATCCTTCATATGTACAGAGTTGTGCTAAAGAACAAAGGACAACTTCCATATGGTGCCCTTGTTACAAGGATTTTTAATTTTCTTAAAATTGAAATCCTTGCTCAGTTTAAGAAGAATTGTGTTCCTGAAATTACTGTTGGTGAGAAAATGATTTCGAAGATGAGATTCACAAAGCTTGAGATGAACACAAAAGGACAAACTTCAGAACAACCTGAGAAGGTGAAGAGAGAACAGGCATCAGAAAAGCAGGAGAAGTTGAAGAAAGAACAACCTTTAGCAAAGTCTGAGAAAATGAAAAAGGGTCAGTCTGCTCAAGTCTCTAAGAAAAAGAGAAAAATAGAAACTATTCTAAGGGATGAAGATGATGAGAAAGAAGTTCAGCATGAAGAAAGTCCTACAGAGGAGAAAGGGAAGAAAGATGTCAGTGATGCTCAAGCTTCAACCCAGGAAAGTAAGTCTTCACCAGCAGCAGACCTTGAAGGCTTAGAGAAGCAACTAGAAACTGCTATTGTTCAGGGGAGCTTCAGAAAGATAAAGGGATTCAATTCAAACAACTAGAGTTTCAAAACTTCCAAGGACAGACCTCCCATGACGAGACCATCCTTTCTTTATTGCTTGAAATCAATGCCAAACAATCCGCCTTAAGTGATGATATGCAGAACCTGAAGACTTTTGTTGAAGACAAGCTACAAAATGTTGATCATCAGGCAGAACATAATATGGCAACACTTGAGAAGGCAATTGGTCAATGCATGTCTAAGGTTGAGGATGCTGTTTAGAACTTGGAGAACTTTCAACTTGTTCGAGCCCCTTTTGAACTCTCACCTATCTATTTTCAAAACTGTGTGATCGTTGATTTTAACATTTGGTTTGTTTGATTGACATTTGGTTTGTTGATTTGATATTGTGGACTATTATTATGGCTTGATATTGCTTATTTTGGTGGTTTATGATGCTGACAAAAAGGGGGAGAAAGCATGCAATGACAGGATATTTACAAGATACTTTGAATATTATGCTTATGTCTAGTGGCTGGATATTTTGACAAGATATTATGGATAATTTGCAAGAAAAAAGCCACAGAATCACAATAACAGTTGTTGATTCAGATTATATGACTTTGTTCTCTGTACTTCAATGCAATATCATAAATATTTGTTACTTATCTTACTCACAATTTATTAGATCTATTCATTGACATGGAAAATTTTGTCATCATAAAAAAGGGGGAGATTGTTGATAAAACCTCCGAACATATTTTGAAGTTGACAAAATTGTCCAAGAGATATTGAAAGTCTGACAAATATCTTTGAAGTTTTTCTAAGTCCAGGAAGTCATTTTCTGGATGTTCAGACTTTATAATAATAAGAAGGAAAAGTCTAAACTCTACACGGTAACAAACAAAGCTCAAACTTTGTATACAACAGTTGAAGAATTTCATGCTATGATTGGAAACGAAAGGACAACCTACCTTGACTTATATTCTGAAGGCAAGTCAAGAATCAGATCTTATCTAGACTTTATCGCTAACTCAGAATGAATGCAACGGCTAATAATCTGGCTTGGGTTTCGCAAATGGAAAGTCTTTATTGATTCGATCTTAAAAGGTGATTTTGCAAGGAACATTAATATTACGGGATATCCTTAATTGATTAACAATCAATCTCACGAGAAGTCTATTTCCAAATGGAGAAGCTCTGCTTATGGAAACCAAAGTTCTGATTGTATGGGCTATCAGAATCAACGGGATTCAGACTTTGTCCTCAACGGCTACTCAATCCTTCTTATACAAATCTGTCCAAGGAGAAGATTGGAAGATGATCATCTAAAGACTGTCCAATGGCTAATTTGGAAGTAGAGGAGTATAAAAGGAGACAAACTGTCAAAGAGCAGAAGTAGAGAGACGAAATCAAGAATCATCCATTCCGAAGTCTGAGCAAACTCTGACCAGTTTTTACTTGTCTTTCTTGAGCTAAAATCTGTGATCTTGAGATACTTGTTGTAAGAGAGATAGAGTGATCCATCTGAATATCACTCAGAACTTGTAATCTCTTGATCGATCATCTAGTGAAATTCAGCCAGTAGGCTATCAGTGTGGGAGAGTGGACGTAGGCTTTATCTAAGCCGAACCACTATACATCTGTGTGCATATTCTCTCTTCCCTAAAACTCGTTTATTGCACATTTATTTGTTTGCCATTCAAAGTTTGACTAAAATCTGAACATTGTTAAGACTTTACTTGAGGTTAATTGCTTCCGCATTAAAATTGATCAATTAGCATTCAAATCACCTATTCACCCCCTCTAGATGATATTTGCTAGTCTCATCAACTATAACTATATCATGAGTTTTGATCGCTTAGAATAAGCTATACACGATATCCGGGATTGACTTTATCTAGGGCACCTTTAGCTCCCAATCGAAGATTGGTGCAACTAATTAGATCAGTGAGGTACTCTTCACGAATCCTATTCTCATTCTCAATTTCTTCATGCATTTTGAAAATCTAAAAATTCAACAAGCAATTTCAAGCTTCTGCAGTAACAACATACTCTCTTATAATCTTGTACTTCCAACTAACAGGAAAAAGAGAAAACTGCAATGTCAACAAAGTAGGAAAAGCAACTTGCTATGTGTTCATGTGCTACCACATAACAATTACTTATGTTGACATAGAACACTTGTCCATCCCAAAGACACTTCAATCAATTCCTTCACCTGGTTACTATTAAAGGATGATGTTTTGGCTATACCGCAACGGGACTCTCTTTGACAACAATCACCCTAAAGGTCTGAAGGCTGGATTTCTCACAGGACTTGTGAGGTATGGCATGGATACTCATTATCCAGCCAAATCTCAACTTAGAGAAAAGCAACTCTAGAAAGAGGAAATTGGAAAAGAAGGTATTGAATTGAAACATCACAACATGATAAATAAGTGGAGAAAGTTCCAAATAAGGGCTTAGAGTATTCTCATTTTTTCAAATAAGAGCATGAAGTAGACATTATTTTAAATAAGACCCTAAAGTGGGCAAATCATCTCAAATAAAGACTTTTGGCCTGCCAGCCAACATGTGACTATTCCGGCAAGGGGTATTTTAGTAAAAAAAATTATAAGTATATTTTTGTTAATTTTTTGATTTTTTTACTTTTCTTTTCTTTTTTTCTTTTTTCTCTTCCCTCCTCGGCCATCGCCGCGCCTTGTCAATGGACGCCAGCCTTAGGGGAGGGCCGCCCTTGCCAACGTCGGGCATGAGCCGCCTTGGGCTGGGCTGGCAAGGGTGTTCTTCGCCAGATCCGGCGAGGGCAACCCTCGCCGGCCTAGACTAGGGCAACCCTCGCCGGCATCGCGCAAGGGTCGCCTCGTCTAAGTCAAGTGACCTCTGCCAGCCATCGATGAGGCCCGACAATGGCTAGGGGAGGGAAGAGAAAAAAGAAAAAAGAAAAGAAAAGGAAAAGTAAAAAAATTTAAAAAATATATACTTAGAATTTTTTCGAAGAGGCTCGGTGATGGCCGACAGAGGGAAGAGGGAGAAAGAAAAAATAAAACATAAAAAATAAAAAATAAAGAAGAAAAGGAAAAAAATTCACAAAAGTAAAGGACGAAAATGGCCTTAGGCCGGTGAGGACAAACCTTCTTTGAGACTGATATGGCCGCTTCAGGTCACTATTTGAAATAAGGTTCACTTCAGGCTCTTCTTTGAGAAAACGTGGCACTTCAGGCCCTTATTTGAGAAAGTGAGGGCACTTCATGCCCTTATTTGGAATTTTCCTTAAATAAGTGAGAGATTTCTTGTTCATCTTGCATCTCATTCCTACATCAAGATGCATGCCTAAACTATGCAGAGTAAGCACTCCGGTCTAGTTGACAACATATGATCATTAGTTACTAAATAGTACTAGCAAATTGAAAGAAAAGGGACATTGATAGCAATTAAGTCCTTACAACTTGACAGGATTTTGAATATATGTACCTAGACCATGTGATTCTGCCAAGGTGAGACATATAAATTTTCCCCCTAATATGAGAACTCTTTTCACCTGGTAATAAACAACGAAATTTATCCACTCAACTGTGTACTTTATTGGACAGTCTAAGCTACATTCCTTAAAAGTATACTGCAAATGCATGTATCTCAAAACACTCATCGAAATTGTATCAACACCTCTGATAAGTATTGATCTCCCCGCTTATTCCCATGCTCTAGCTCCATTAAAGTATCCAATCCACATTTATCAAGAGCAATATCAAAGGTTTCGTCTGAGAACTGGTGCAAATGCTAACAGTTAGAATCAAGATAATGGTGGAATCGAAAACAAAACTGTGAACATCCTTCTGAATAAAACAAACATATAAAAAAGTCAAAAGCAGCATAAGCAATCAGACAGAGAAACAAGACAATGAAGTTGAAAACCAAACATGTTGATGGAAGATCCAACATAAATGTACAGCAAAACTGAAGACTAGCATTAGTGCATTATCCACCCCCTCTCACATTAAAAAAAATACATCACCCTCCAGCAGCAAGCAAGGTCAACAAAGTGACTTCAAGTTGATGGATGATGATTCATGATCTGAAATTACATAAACAAAACCCACGGGCTATCAAAAGCCAGTGCACTGCAGCAAAATGATGTGATGAGGCAATGGTTTGGGCATGGGCTTGCATGTGGGTATGGACATTATATCCAAGTGACAGACAAGCCACTATCAAAGTGCCTCCATTTAGCTTTATTGAGCTTCCTCTCCTTGTGGCTCTTCTTTGCCAATCCAGTTCAATCATTTATTTCCCTCTATATATGTCGATCAAGCTAATGTACGGTTTCCCTGCTTATATCTCCTGAAAATAATTCTTTTGACCATACATTTGCTTGATCGACATATTTAGAATAGAAGAAAGACAAATCACTTCAACAACAATGCGTTCGATGAATGAACAATATTGAAAAAAATTAAATTCCCGAAAGTAACTATAGTCAGATTTCACCTCATTGATTATGAGACAGATTACGTATGCCTATTAAACACACCTGCTAAAATATGTCTCGAGTTTGAGCCCGATAGACAAAATCCGATCCGAGATTAAATATTATTTATGAAAGTTTGAATATTTTGAATTGGATATTTTACGGATGTCCAAAAGTTAGCCAAGGAAAATATACGAAATCAAATTTCGAATTAAAGTTGGAATGTGCATCGGAGTCTTTGCCCACTGAAATAGGAAAGTCGAACGTGGAGCTTCCCCGTTGAAGTCGGTCAACAAAGAAAGAAAGGAAAGGATATTGTGCCCAAGTTGAAAGAAGAAATAAAATAAAAAGAAAAGAAAAGCATGGCTGGATGTTTGTTTCCTGATCCCAGGCGTGGTCTTCTTTTGTTGACCAACATGGGACTACTTTCAGGCGGTGGATATATATGTATATATATGCTCACGATCAGAGATGCCTTTCACGAAGAAAAAGACTTCTTGAAGCGCCGCTTGCTTGTGAGTACTTGGCGTTCGAAGACGTGCAGAGGGAATTCGTGAATTATATTCATGAAGTCAGTGTTCAAGCAATAAATTCTTGTGGTAAGAATTTGTGAGTAATTCTTTCGTGAGATTGAGAGATTACTTTGTGAGGAATTATAAAGCTAAATACTACGTGAGTTATTGAGTGTAATTTAGGGCTTGCGAAACACTTAAAGTGTTTGAGTGACTCGAGTGTGATTATAATCTCCGTTGTATCGCTTGATCTATAGTGGAATTTCGTGCTACTCTCTCCGTAGATGTAGGTCACCATGACCGAACCACATAAATCTTGTGTCCGATTTATTTTCTTGTTCTGTCAATTTTATTATTCGATCGCTCGGCTTTCGTAACAATTGGTATCAGAGCTAGGTTTGGTTGAGTTGAAGCGAATATATGGCGATGGAAGAAGGAAAAGTGAAAATCGATAGATTTGATGGGAAGGATTTTGGTTTTCGGAAGATGCAGATTGAAAATCATCTGTATCAGATGAAACTGCACTTGCCCCTATCCGGGGAGAAGCCAGAGATTATGAAGCAAGCTGATTAGGAATTGCTGGATAGACGAGCTTTGGGGTGTTATTCGGCTGACGTTGGCTCTTAATGTCGCGTTTGACATCGTGAAAGAGAAAACCACTGCGGGTTTGATAGAAGCCTTGTCGGATATGTACGAGAAGCCCTCTGCAATCAACAAGGTCTATTTGATGCAACGCCTGTTTAACTTGAAGATGAGCAAAGGTGCGTCAGTTACTGATCATATCAATGAATTTAATGTGATCGCTAGTTAATTGAGTTCAGTTGATATTGATTTTGAAGATGATGTATGTGCTTTAACTCTATTATCTTCATTACCTGATAGTTAGAATACTACTATTACTGTTGTTAGTAATTCCTCTAGGTCAACAAGTTTGACGTTTGATGGTGTTCGAGATTTAATTTTAAGTGAGGACATCCGTAGAAGAGAATCTGGTGAACATGTATTTACTGCTTTAGTAGATGAAAATAGAGGAAGAACCGGCACACGTGTTAGCAGGAGTAATATGAACTGAAATAGACGTAGTCAGTCTAGGACTGGTGGTGCTGTCTGTTGGAGTTGTGGCGAGAAGGGACATCTTAAAAGGGATTGTCTTAAGCTGAAGAATGAGAAGAGTAATGGAATTATAGTTGATCATGTGGATGATGTTTGTGACATCCTGAATTTCGGCCCATTTTTGGGATTTATAAAACGGGTATTTCGTCAGTGCGCTTATAGTAAAAATCTCGCCCGGGAACTGATCACTCCCGGTTATTATTTTTAAATCTTGAGATTTCGCTAGAATCGCATTCGATCGAATTTGGCCGTTATTTAGACCTCGAACTTGGCAGTCGATTTTCGGGAGTTTCAGGACGAAATAAATTGGACGGTGTCAATATTATCGTAGCCAGCGTTGAGATTGTCAGGAACAATGGAAAAATGGGAGTTTTTGACCGGGTGCGAATTTGGACTAGTAGACCCCCTCGCTATAGTTTGATTTAATTAATTCGGCCTTTGTCCCTTTTTATATGCGAGGCTTATTTTGGACCGGTAGATCGCTTTCGGTTTTGAATTTGGGTCATCGGATCGCATTTAATATTTGAATCGTGACCGTTAAATCGATATTTAGTTTGAACCGTGTCCGTTGGTTCGCGCTCGAGGATAAATATTAACTTTGTTCTCTCTTACTCTCTCTCCTCTCTCCTCTGACATGCCCACGCCGCGCACGCCCTCTCTCTCTCCTCATTGCGTCTACCGTCCCTCTTCTCTTTCTCTCTCCCTCCTTCTCTCTCCTTCTTTCTCCCCCTCTTTTCCCCCTCTGGCCGCGCACGTCTTCCCCAGGCAAACGTCCCCTCAGCCCACGCCCATGCAGACCCACCCCCTGACACACACCCTCTCTCTCTCTCTCTCCTCTTCCTTCTTCTTCTCTTTCTTCTTCCTTCTCTTCGCCTGCTCTTCTTCTTGATCTTCTTTCTTCCTCCCCGACGAGCCTGCGTGTGGCACTGCTCCCGCCCGGCCCGACGGCTCGCCAATCGCCGCTCGCCGGACCGACCTCCGTCGCTCGTCACCACCGCACACCATCCGACCGCCACCTCCGCCTAGCCGCCCCGACGCTGCCTTCCTCCCCTCCCGAGCGCGCGAGCTCGGCTCGCCGCCGTGCTCGACGAGTCCCGGCCGCTGTCCAGCCAGCTCCCCAGCATCGCCCCGACGCCTGAGCGTCTACGTCACCGCCGCCGCCGAACGCCCCCAGCCGCGCCACCCGCCTCGGCCACCTTCCTCTTCTTCTTCCTTCGTTCCCATCGTCGTCGGGGAGCAGCTCGCCGCTGCCTGCCTCCGTCGCTACCTCGTCCACCACCACCCGGCGTCCCTTCTGCCACCGCCATGCCGCCCGAGCATCGCCGGCTTCGAGCCCTCACCGCCCCAGCTCTCTCTCTCCCTCGCCACCCCACTCCGGCCGACTCTCTTCTCTCCCTCCAAGCTGGTCGTCGGAGAGCCGCCCTGCTTGCCGCCGCCACCGCCAGCTGCCGGAGCAAGCCCAGCCGGCCAGCCGACCAGCCATTGCCCGTGCCCGTGCCCGTGCCCTTGCCCGCGCCCGTGCCCTTGCCCGCGACCGTGCCCGTGCCGCGCCTTGTGCCCGTGGCCGAGGGCTGTGCCCATGGCCGAGCGCCATGGCCGAGCCCCGCGCCCGTCGCGCCCTTGCCCGTGCCAAGTGAGACACTGTTCACCCGGGCCATTTTAGGCCCGAGCCGATTTTCTCCGGGCCAAAACCAAGTAAGTGACATTCTAATCCCTATTTAGTACAATGGGTATTATTAGACTTGTTTAGAGATTAATTAGAATTAATTCAATGACTAAGTTAGAAAATGAATTAGTTGGTTAGAATATGATTAGTACTTGAATTAGGTGATAAGTGGTGGATTAAATTGTGATGATTGCGTGGCAAATTGTGACGTGCTAAATATCCGTATTGTCTTGGCGTGTGTGGGAAAGTTGACGTGTGATTGTGGCCGGCTTGAATGTCGGAATCGTGAGCTTGTGAATTGGAATTGGGATGATTGTTGGTGTATGTTTGTGGCTATTGTTGGTGGGTCAATGATTGGCTTATCGTGGCATTTGTGAGTGGAATTGATAGCTGAATGTGACCGACTTGAAGGTCGGGTTGGTGGAATATTGCGGTGAGCATGCCTTGAGTTTGATTGGTATGACTTGTGAGAATGGCGAATTGTGTTGTGGTGCATGTGCATGAGAAAAGCCCGGATTGATCGGAGGGCTGCCAACCTGAGGCGTGGTTACGCGGGTGTGGCGAGAAAGGCATGACCAGACCTGAGGCGTAGGTTACGCGGGTCATTGGAAGGGGAAAAATGTCCTGAGGCGTGGTTACGCGGGACCGAGCCCGGCTTGATCTAAGGGCTGAGCCTGAGGCGCAGTAGCGCGGGCTGTGAGATTGGGCCTGAGGCGCAGTGGCGCGGGCAGTGTGAAAGGACCTGGGAGGTCGTGGAAAGTTGTTCGACCACGCATGCGAGTTGTGTGTGATTGAATTGATTGAACTGATTGGACTGGCTAATTGAATGTGTGATTGAATTGGTGTGATTGATTGAGTGCCAGTGTGGTTGGCGTTTGATTGATCGTGATATGTTATTGAGTTATTATTATTGTCTTGTCGCGATTTGACTAACGTGCAGAGTTTACATGGGTTCGGTGGTGAGGTAAGTATAAGGATGAGTTTTTATTTTATATGTTATGGGGTAGATTGC